CTGACGCGCAGCGCCCGTCGCGACGCCCGATTCTTGGGCGGCCACGCAGTTGCGCACGCCATCGTGCCGCAACGGTGGGGCCGCATCGTAGAAGCATTGCGGAAACTGCGGCTGGGGCTTGCAAGGACCACAGGGCCCGTGGAATGGGGAAGGCCGAAATCATTGTCGGCGAGTTCATTTGCAGGTCTCGTGGCGCCGTATCGTGTCGATTACTGCAGCAAGGTCACTTATTGCCAAGGTCATATCGGTTCGCGTCGCGTCGAGGAAGCAGTGGAGTAAGGAAGCTGGGAATTGTAGTCCAAGATGGTTGCAGAAAACGCGTCGTTCGTGCTCAAGTAGCAGACGCCGGCGGCACAGCGGTCCAAATTTGGAAGGATCTGTCGTTCGTCGTCCAACGCACTCCGAGGCTCTCCTTCTCTGTGGTGGCAGCAAACATCAGACAACACAGATCATGAAGCAGGTGAGTCTAGCCATTCTGTGCAAATGTAACTGTTCGCGTCATGTAGCCATCCAGGCAATCTCTCAAGCGCAAGACTGGCCTCTTAGCCCCGAATGGGAATCCTTGGCGGACAAGACCGACCAGCCCCAGCGATCTGAGCCATGGACCGACATCCGAATCCTCAAGTGCATACTAATACCCCGACACTTCCCTGCGTGCTGGACCAACGTGACTATGACGCCCTACAAGACATCACCGTAGCCATGCCAAACCGAGTCAGCAGCTTGTCGCGATCCAGACAAACCACACATGGGGCAACGCAGAGGAGACGGGTGTCAGATTATAAACCACATGTATACTTCAAACGAGACAACCATCTGCGTAATGACCGTGACAGCCCAAGGTTTGTGCGCGTCATCAGAGCCAGGATACCTGAGAGCCGAATCAGATGAGAATTTGCCAGGAAATAAGAAATATCACAAGACAACTTACTGGTTGGAGGAGCGAGCCACACATAAATCCGCCGTGCATACTCCAAATGCTCAATAAGCTGGCTAGCCGACTGCAGACTTCATGCTGACACGAACGCCTGAAGCTGGTGGCGCACCGCTGTCTCGTCGACGTCGGACACAAGACCCTTGAGCGTCGCGGCATTTACAGACCTGCCGGCGTCCAGTAAACCAAGGTCAATTTGGCACTTCATCTTCAAAGTCTTCATGACGTGCGAGAAGCGGCGTCTATACTGAGTCGCGAGCGCAGGAAACTGGGATGCAAGAAAGCACGAAGACTTCCAGGAGGACCGGACGCGGCGTGCACAGGCATCTCCGCAATGCACTGTCGCTTCAAAGCGCATCCCCTAGTCGGAGGAAGGAACGAGGGGACCGAGACGGCTTCGGGCCAGAACTCCCGCTGAAAGGTACCGTCTTCAGTACCATGGCGACGGCAGACGTGAACTTGGAGTACGCCCGAGGCAGACGTATCTGAGGTGCAAGAACATGTGAGTATACTCGCCAGTACTAACGTGCATTTGGGCCGACGTACCAGGCAGAAATGCGAGCCACGCGGCGATAAGGACAGGGATACCCGAAGTATACGGTGCACTAGGCAAACGGTCTCGACGAGTTCGTCGAGCCTCTCGAGCGCAACACTACGGCGATACGTCCCGCTGAGGTCCACCGGGAGGCTCTCGAGCGCTTGTAGCCTGCGGCGGGCGCGCGACGCTCGCGAGTGCGGCATCGTCGCACGGGTGGAGGACGAGAGGCCACGCGAGGCTTGCGTGCGCAGTGCCGCGCATTTTACACAGGCGACGGGAATATTGTCAATGGCGCGAAAGAGGCGCTGCCCACGCGGGACCGTGTTGGACTTCCGATCTGAAGGCGCAGCGGAGAGTGTAGGGGGTTATCGGGTGGGATAGCGGCGGGGATCGAGCGATCGCGGCGAAGACACGGGGTTCTGGTTGAGCAGGCGGTTGAGATACCTCGCAATACGGACCTCGATTGTCTTGCCCACATCCTCTTGTCACAGCACCAGGCCGGTCTGTCGTCCGTTTGGATAAGCAGGCGCCTTGTATACCAAAGGAAGCAGGACGCACCATGCCGACGACCGTATAAGCCCGTCTGAGGCCGCCGCTGTGCACATGCTGCAGTAAAAGACGTGACTGATGGACACGAAAGCGGTGCGAAGGCGTCTGGTATACGCCGCACGGTGCATGTGCCACAGCCACCTCGAATCCGTTCCTGGCGTCGGTCTCCCAAATTTGAGCACGACTTTGGGCTGAGAACGATTGCTTGGAAGAACACGTGTGGATCAACGCCATGAGTCAAGATCCCGTTTGACACGTGTTGAAATCTGTGTCGTCTATCTGTCATTAAGACAGGAACGGCCGCGTCATGGACGGGAGCGTACCGTGAATAGGGAGTCTGCCAGGCAAGCACGCCAGGCAGCCAACGATGGATAAATGGAATAATTGAGGACAATCTTGTGCTTGACGCTGCCCCGTACCACGCGCTTTGCATCTGCCCAGCGTAGTGCATAAGTACTTAGAAGTAGAAGAAACGCGGACCGGCACGCACCATGGCCAACCATACTTGTACCTAGTACGTCTCCTGTGTACACTCGCGCAGCTCCTCTTCGGTGTAATCTGCATGGAACCTGCGGTGTGCCTCCCCCGCGGTCTGCCGCGGCAACCACGTCGAAGCGTACCGTCGCCTGCTTTGTGCCATTGAAGTGCATGAATACCTGCACGGATGACTGTTGCAGATCTGATGCGGTGATTCTTCAGCTGCTGTGGCACGTCCGCGAGCGCACCCACGTACCCTAATGCCTCCCAGCTTCAATGCGTTGTTAGGCCGACCCTGGCTGCGTGCGACATTGTTGTTGCGTGCTTTCTAAGAACAGTAAGCGTGAGCCGAAGCCTTGTGCCCGCAAATTCGCATGCGCTGACGCAGTACAACTGTTTGTGATTCAGCCGTTCGCTCAGCTATGAAAAGCAAGTTAGACACACCTTGTGCTCGAGGTCGCAGTTCTTGCCGAGGAAAACGCCGGCCGTGGTCGACGTTGAGCCGCTCAGGAGCGGTAGAGAGAGATTTGACGCCAGAGCAGGTGCTGCAGGAGACGAGGATACGATGATGGCCAAGGCGAAGGGAGCTCATCGGTGGCAAGAGAGAGGGCGGCGTCGAAGACAGTTTTGGCGCTCTCCCTTTGATGCGCCCAGTTTGATGCGCCGGCTAATCTGGACCGAGATCACCGATTCCTCGCTGCTGGCGCTTCAAGGCGACGTCGTTGTGGCTCTGCGCCACAAACCACGACCGCGGCAGCGGCCACGTTTCCCGAGTGCTTTCTCTCAACACAATCTCGCGTTGCTTCGATGCTGTGCTCGGCGATTTCTGGTACGCGTCCATCTCCACGACTGCACACAGTGTCATCGCCGGGACTCTACTCCCGCACGCCTGCACGCTCGTCTCGTCACCGTTCTCTGTCACTTGTACGCGTGATGACTTCACTCTCTCCTCCATTGCAGGCCACTCTCCAGACCTCAGTGCCGAGCGCTCAGTACGCACTCACGGAGAGCTATTGCTCCCCTGCAAACTTCCTGCCATGCGGCAGCAAGCTAGGCGCTCCACACTGCGTCCAACTCATTAAGCAAGGCCTCGTCTCGCCACTGTCTGTGAGCCTGTGGACTACATCTCGCAAATACTAACGTCCGCCGTAGTTTTGGCCCTGTCACAGCTCAGGAAAATGCTCCCGCCCACGCCCGGCGAGCATATTACCGGGCATGTTCTTCCTTGCGTGCTGAACGTGCGGCCTGGCCAGCACTCGTACTACAGCTGTCAAAAGCAGCGCGAGGGGATAGCAGCACAAGGTGGGCTGCAAAACATGAGACTCCTCGGACTGACATTATGACTGGCGGTGCAGCGAGCAGGGATACCACCAATCTGACGGCGCGGACGAGAACAGCATCCAGTATGTCACCAGCCGCACTCTCAGTTTGGTAGAGTAGGCTCTCGAACGCTCTGGAGTATGTCAGGAGGCGGGGGACGAGTTCAACGATGGTACACAGAGGAGAGGGGACGCGGATTTGGACGGACGGACGAAGGAGAAGGCCACGGAGTCAATGTTATGCATGAGTGAGGGTTCAGATTGCGCATTACATATCACCAACAGTGTGTCAAATCCGCTCTTCTCCGCACTTCATTACTGGTCAGTAAATATTCGTAGGTTAACCTGAGTACTATAATATGAACGCTCATCCTACAATCATTCGGTGCGCGCGTACTAAGTATCCACGTCATCTGGCCCGCTGCTGGACTCCTAGTGGTTCGCATGACTGCTGCAGCTCGTCATGGCCCGTCTGATTTGGAAAACATGCCAGCAGCGGCACCGCTGATGGGAATGTCACCGCAACTCTCAGTCTCGACTCTCAGCTTGATGCGAAGCTTAGCCTACCACCTGCGGAGCGTTTATAATCGCTTCTTCCTTGCTCTCGATATTGCCTTCTCTCTCTGTGGCAGTGATGACATCCACAGCCACACAGACGCCATGCCAGTGCTGCGTTCGCGCCTAACCCTACTGCACTGGTCTTGCCGCAGCATATGTGGAAATCGGTATGTAGCCTGTTGATCCGTCCTTGCCTAGGGGCGGTGAGCACTTACGTTCGCCACAGACCACGGCGGCCACGCATTGGTCTCATCCGAATACACCCGCATCCATGGAAATCCAGTGGTTGGCAGTGCGCGACGGCGCTTTGAAGCGACCAGCTGTTATTAAGGGAGTGTACAGCTAATTCATTAACCTATTCATCTCCGCACGCGGGCCCTGATGCAATTTCACACATGTCGCGCTTGAGTGTGGCGATACTGACATCACCGGGAACAATGCAGTGCGTCAGAAGTCTGTGTGCCTTAATAGGGCATCGCAACTCCCTACGATAGCTTCCTCGCACCTGTGCGCAGGCTGTACATGCATCCTGCGTCTACATAAGATATGCCATACTCAAGCGTTGTGGTGAAGCTACCCTCTCCCTCTCCTGACTCCGGCCCTCTCTAGCTGACCACGCTCCGTCATGACGTCGCTCAGTGATCTTCCGCATGCGCGTAGCTATCTCGATGGCATGGCAATGTATAAGAGCCTTAGGGACCCCTATCACCTCCGCAGAGAACTGCCGAAGAAGTGGTCCACAGTTACGTACTACGATGCTGCTCCAGACTCCGTCATAAGTCAGGATGGATTCACAATTGACACGGTGTCCATTAGCTACTATGGCGCGGAGTCATCGAGAGCATATGTTGCAGAACGCTGTGTTGACCCGCGCTATCCATTCTACTATTATGAAGTGTCCATCACGTCGCTCGTCTTCTATCATAGCGACTCGGATGGATCAAAGTGAGCTGATTACAAAACAAGTCCCAGCTATAACTTGCACTGACAGTGTCTGCTGGCTTATGTAGTCTATGTGTTACAATAGCGTCTGTATTCAAGCTGCTTTCATCGTGATCCTTAGTGACGAGCTCTAGGAATGCAGCCTGATCGCCGAGAACGGGAGTAATGAAGCTCTAAAGTCCAAGTCACCTCCGCCTACAGCACTTCGAGTTTGGGATCGACTTTGGGACGATGGTATAGGATACCCGGGCTATTCCGGAGAGTCTGTGGCAGGTGTATTCATCCTTCCCTGGCCAAGTACTTCAGGCGGTGTCTCAGGTGAGCTCACGGCGTTTAGACGTGCCTCATCCAAATGTAGGCTGACTATACAACCCTCACAGCCGGAGATATACTAGGTTGTGGGATCTCACGCTCTGAGGGTCGGATATTCTACACTAAGAATGGTAGCCGTGTTGGTAAGGCTCCATTGAGATTAGTGTGCAGGACATGGGCTCACAGTGTCTGGCGGCCCGTGTGTACTACAGGTGACTCACTGGACATCAGTAAATTCCTGAACGCAAAGATGACAAGGCTACGCCCGGTCGTCTATGTGACTCTCAAAAATCGCGGCAACCCACTAATTCCGCCATTTCTTCGCTTGCGCACTACCGCCAACTTTGGGCAAGACAAATTCACATTTGACATCGCACGCTTTGCAGAAGATATAAGGCAGCAGAGATACCTATTTCCGTACGACGCTAGGTTGCTGCCCGATGAAGTCATTGCGATGATCGCTGCATTTGCTGCGGAAATCATTGTAGCCGAAGAGGATGTGTGAGCTATTCCTCGTCTAATGTACAATGGAAGTCAGCTCAAATACTCTATCTTGATTAGCATTGCCTGCATCTCACTCCTGAACTCGCTTGCCATGGTCAATCGCACTTGGCAGAGCATCTGCCGTCCCATGATGTTCAGCGAGCTCCACATTGGAACTCTGGCTCAATTGCGCCGCTTGTGCGTCATCCTCAAGACCGCAAAGATCTCAAATCCTCCACACAAGGTGCACATAAATCCCGACAGATATTCGCAACCTGAAGACCACAAACTCCCCATTCCGAGTCTGGCATTGGCTCTTTCATCTTTGGGTCTCCATCTTCGACAGACTAGCAATATTCTGTGCAATTACTGTGACTCCTACCTGCCCGACATATTTGCGATACGAGAGGCTCCACCCCGAATTGAGGCCGCGGTCTCTGCCCTTCTTCGTCCATTACAACACCTCACCCACCTACACTTGGGTGATATGAAGTTCAGATCTGTAACTCAGCTCCTCGGTATCATCCGCGCCCAACCCCACATCCAACACATTTACCTCGAGTGGATAGAGGTCTTGCAGGCCACCGAACGGTTCTACTGGCCACCGAATCTTGCTCTGACAAGCCTGCAACATTTCAAATTGGATCATTGCACCGTACCCGCGAATACAATTCCGATATTCGTCTCACTTATGCTCGGAGGCAAACCAAATTTTACCCCTTCGCCACCTGGCGTTCCCCAACACTACTCACAACAGCCTGGCCACTCTCATAGTTCACGGCGGATCCACCATGACGACCAGAATGTCCTGGTAGAGATTGCTCAAGTTCTAGGGCAGCATTTATGTAGTCGGCACAATCACTCTGATGGTGCAGCAGTATGCAAGTTCGAAATCTCTGCAGCTACTGATCTATTCAAATCGGGAAAATGGTTCCTAATGCTTGGTGGTGAGGTTTATTGAATACCTGCTCAAGTTTCTGTGACTCATGCCTATTATTCTGGCATTTTGCTCATGCAGTCTCTGATCCTGACGAACAACTCGTTGGAATCTCCATGGAGAACGTGCCAGGGTCGGAGGATGTTCTTTGGCGTATCAAAGAAGTCAGCCTCGTGCTTTACAGACCACCATGCGGCACAGTCGAAGGCACCGCACATGCACTGGCGTCTCTCGATCGCTCGTTCGCGACAATATTCACTCGGGACAACTCTTCGCCTTCTTTGCGGATCACGATTGGTCCGAGATTATTCAAGAAAATCACGAAGGTCGTTCCTAAATCCCTGCGATTGCTTGAAGCGCAGGGGAGAGTAACTCTAGAGCTCGAGGAGGGGATGGACTCCTGGCCACCTGGGTACGCGAACCCCGAGTCCGAGCCGGAGAACAGCGAAGAGCCGGCCACTGGGAACACAGACTCTGAACACGAGTCAAAGGGCAATGAGGACTCGGAGCCGTAGCGTTGCGGATCCTCTGTGCACGTCCTGACCACGTCATCATCCATTATCAGCTCTGCACACTCACACTCCCCTCCCGAACGCTCCCACAGACATGTTTGTCCTGTCCCCCGCGTCGATCTCTGTTCCCTCTCCCCAATGAATCTTGGCCAAGCCTTCGAGCCAGCCCCGTGCCCCATCAGTCGGCAAACGCGAGGTCTCCACTTCATCCCCGCGACCGTCTCCAGATCCCGTCACCATCCCATCGTGCCCGCGCAGTCGCAGCCAGCGCGCGACGACCTGCACCACGACCTCTACCGCCGCCGGGCTGCCCGCATTCATCACGCTCGTGACGTCCTCGAGCAGTTGTTCCCTCCTCTGTCGGCGTATTCTGCACTAGAGCTCCCGATTTCGCGTCGCTGCGCAGGAGCGCGTAACACACACGACAAGCTCTTCGCACCGCCGAGTCGGCCGCTTCGGGCACTTGCCTTTCGTCGGCGTGTGCGCGAGCCGCCCTGGAAGAGCCTTATCGTGTTGGCCACGGGAAAGGAATTTCGAGACGGAGATGGATGGGTGGCGGAGGCGCAAGAGGTAGCGTGAGGGTCGGCACGAGGATCTGCGGGAAGTTTGAGGTGAGCGTGAGCGTGGGTACGGGGGCGGATGCTGCGCCGGATCGATGTTAGACGGAATGGATGAGCTGGACTACAAGGAACGGACCTACCTTCTTTTAACTTAATTTCCGTCATGTTTACAGCGAAGGATGACTTTTCGAGATGTACTTACTATGCTATCGATACACTTGACTAGCAGACGGACATCGTGAACGTGCGCAAGTTATCACAGTTATCAAATTTATATATTATATTCCCGTCTGGTACTGTATGGAAACACGAATCAGCAACATCGAAGCATGGGCCAGCATTGGGACGTACCATTAAATATTCATCCAGATTGCCTCCATGCGGTCCCACAATGACAACACCGTAGGAGCCGGTGAGCACCAGGACGATATTATGATGTGCTCATGACGCGGAGCGAGCACATAATATGACGGGCATCGAGTACGACGCCGAAAGAATCAGCGACATTGGCTCGGAGACTCTGTGCAGCGGATGTCGGCCTTTGCGCAAGAGAAAAACAGAGGACTGCGCGAGAATCAGCCAATGTCCGCGGATGCTGAGCGAACGATAGCGATCGCCTGTGCGCCGCCCGAAGAGCTCCAGCGCATCCGCGTATACTATGCATAGTAGAAAGGATTTGCCTGCGAGAATGGACGACGAGGCCGGCGTATTCGACAGGGCGGCGATCCTGCGCGCGTGCTGCCAGGCGGCAGGGTTGCTGGGTTCCGTGATCGTGTTCCGCGCCGTGGCCAGACGAGAGGCAGAGAGGCCTATGCGAAGAGGCCAAGACCCATGGTGCTCTTCAGGGCAGCTTCACAACGCATGCGTGGCCGTACTATCGAGGTGCGAGGTACAGCAACCTAGTTTCATCGTCATGTCAGCGATACATCTAGCGCGCTATGAGTTCGTGGTATACCTGCACCCGAGACTGTCAGATCGACACCGTCCCAAGCCGCGCACGGGTTTCCGCAGTGACCCGTGGCCGGACCCTCGCCTCCCCGGGAGGCACCGTTCACCGCTAATAAACGATCCGAGGCTGCTGCGCCCGCTGCTGCATCGCAAGAGGACTTGCACTGAGAATTGTACAAGATGAGATAAACTTGAGACACGTCGGTCGGATCGTCATGCTTGCCGCTCGTTGATATCGATGATGGACATTTCGTCGAGAGAGAGCTCGGCCGAAGAAGTGAGTAGTGGGTTGTGGTCGGTTGCACAGTGATGGCGAGGGCCGAACACATCGATCCTGATAGAACATCTGGTTAGAAATCGTACGAAAATTACGAATATGTGCTTCGAACAGCGCACCTAACGAGTGAAGTCGTGCTTGATTCAAATACTCGCTCTCAAATTCATTTCTGCGACGCGCGGGCACAGCGGGGGAACAGTCGGCTCGTAGGGCAGATCAACAACTTCCAGGAAGAAGACAGGCACGACGTGTCGAGTTACCTAGAGGTGCAGCGGTAAGCCGTGGGTTGGCCGCAGAGAAAGGGCTGCTGATCATGTTGACCGTAAAAGTATTGTCCTTATTGTACGGCCGGGTGCCCGGAGCTCGCGCTCAAGAGCAGCGACAGCTACTTGGCTGAGGAGTGTAGTGCTTTGCGGGCCGGGCAAATTTTGATAGCTTGGTGCCCGTGCGGCGCGGGAACAAGAACATGACGGCGGCCTTGAGCTGGAGTGCCGTGGCGGCGAAGGCGGCCTTCGGCGGCATGACAACAAGGGAGACGAAGCAAGTGCATGTGTTTGGTACAGCTTATCTGGCCGAGAAGTGATGGCATTATTAGCTATAGACTGGCAAGGCGAGCCGGGGGCAACTGACGTACTATATGGACGCGCAGCCGATGCACGACAACCTGCGCCATAACCTCTACCGCCGCAGCCAACGTCGTCTGCGCCCATCACGCTCACGACGTCCTACTGCACGGCCGCTCCTTCCTCTACCCTACGCACGCCGCGCCAGACTTCCCGTCTTCATGTCAGAGCGCAAAGCGCGCGACGCGCGACGGGCTCCTCGCGCCGTCGAAACGGCCACTCAGACCCTGGCCCGTCGTCGGCACGTATGCAAGCCGCCTTAAAAGACCCTGATCGAGCTGGTGGCGCAGAAGGTACTCGGAAATGGCGAGGGATAGGTTGTAAAGGCGCGGCCGGCGCAAGAGGTGGTGTGGGAGTCGGCACGAGGATCTGCGCGAAGAATGGACAGAGGACGAGGATCGGTATAAGGGTGGATGCGGCGCTGGATCGCTATTAGACGTGAGGGACGAGCTGGACTGCAAGGAACGAACCTACCTTTCATTTATTTGTTGGATTTTTATTGTGTCTACCGCGAAGGACAATATTTGAAGTTTGGCTTGCTGTACTATCGCACCACTTGACCGCCAGACGAATGATATAGGCACACATAGGTTATCATAGTAAACGGTGTTATTTATTCACTTTTGTCTACCAACACTGCAGAGAGACGCAAATAAGTCAAATGGTAGCGTAGGCAGGAGCTTTGATGTACCTTCAAATATTCACTGACTTGACCTGCTCCGCAATAGCAACATCACGGGAGCCAGCGGGCACGTCCAGTCCCCCCAAGTATGGCGCTCCGCGGGTCGGCGACAACAGCTCGGAGCCTCCATGCAGCCGATGTCACCGGTCGCGGCTCCAGAAGATGAAGGGTTGTGTAGGAACGGGCAAAAATTCGCAGATACCGGGCGAGTGACAATTGGGACCGCGACCGCCCGTACGACACTCGGAGGACTCCAGTGCGCTCACGTGTATGAACCACCGGTAGCAAGGATTTGTCTGCGGGAGTGAATATTTACACCAACGTCTTCGACAAAGCAGCGACTTGCGTGCGTACCGTCGAGCACTCGCATCGCCAGGTTCCGCAACCGTGTTCCGCGTAGCGGCCAGACGAGGGGTGGAGAGATCGGGTCCGAAGAGGCCAATGCGCGCAGCGGTATCCTGAGATGGCTGCGTGGAACACGCTCGGCCATAGCATTGAGATACGAGGTAAAGCAGCCTAGACTCATCGTCTTGTCAGTGATGCCATTGATACGCTGCGGGTTCGGGACGCGCACGCACCTGAGGCTGTCTGACAAACGCCAACCAGACGTACACGGATATTCGCGGCGACGCGTTCTCAGAGCTTCAGTTCACCAGGACTTCGAGAGGCATCGTTCGCCGCCAATCGACGATTCGAGATACCGCGTCCCGGCGGCGTCCGCTGTTGCACCGCCAGAGTACCTGCACCGAACATTGTACAAGCCAGAGCAAATCAAGACGATAGGATCGTCGTGCTTGTTGCGCGTCGATCTCGATGTTGAACGTCTGACAGACGGAGTGCTTGAGCCGAAGAAATGGGCAGAGGGTCGCAGCAGGCTACAAACTGATGGCGAGAGTCGGACACTGCATTTTTAGCAGAGTATCTGGTTATAAATTATACAAAGCTGCAAACACACGGCTTGAGTAGCGCACCTAGCGGGTCAGCCCATCCTCAATCCGTATGCTCAATCTTCAATTTGCCCATGCGACGAGCTGGCGCAGCGCATTACTGGAGCGACACTCGGCGAATAAGACGGAATAGACGCCAGAGAGCAGGTAGAAAACGGCACGTCGAGCCTGCCAGAGGTGCAGATAGGCAGCGAGTTGGCTGCCGGGGAAACGCAGTTGACCGTGCCGACCGCAAAGGCAACTTCCTCGTCGTGTGGTTGCGAGGCACCCAGGGCTCAACTCAAGGGCGGCGACTTGCGCGTGGTTGAAGAACGTAATAACTTTCTGGCTAGGTGATAGTCGACAGCTTCTCGCCTGTGCATAGGAGGAACAAGGGCACGACAGAAATCTTGAGCTGGAGAGCTGCGGCCAGGAAGACGATCTTCGGCTGCACAATGACAAAGAAATCGGGTACACTTGCTTCTGACCAGGGAAGGACTACTTTAGCTGTTGAAACGTTGGCCGGAAAAGCGAGCAACGTGTCACGTACCAGGTGGAAGCGCAGGCCCTAGCTTATCCGGCGTAAACGCGCTGAGCTGGTGTTCGACAACGAGTTACGAGGTCACCTGCGGAGTAGCGCGAAAGAAGCGTCGTGTGGCGCAATGGCAACGGGGCCTGGGGATCGTGGAGGGTTGAATTCGCGTTCGGCGTCGCAGCGGCCGTGCGTTTAATTCGCGTTAAGAGCAGCTCGCGCTAGATCACGTGACGGCACTGCGTGCCACATCTGGAGATTCTGGAAGGTGTAGTCGTTCGCACACCACTACAACCGCATCCAGGGACCGCAGCTTTCAGACTGAATGCTATCTGTCTCCTAGTGCATTTCTTTGGCATAATCTTCTACAGCTAACTCCGTATAAGTGTTGCAACGAAGCATACATCGCGATCCATGAGATATTTATCGCATGAGAGTATCGGTACAGCGATAAAATCCAACGATATCTCAGATGAAAATGGCAACAGCTCTCAGCCGTGCAGGGAACCTCTCGAGCACGGCAGCTTGTACAGAGACATCATCCGCAAGAGATGTACAGTTTGGCGCACAATAAAAGCATTGAACCCCAATCTCCAGGGCGGCGAGGTTCGCATACGCCTCGAGCGCTCGGCTAATCGCAGCCCAGTTGACCTCCTGCATCGTCGGGGCCAGCGTCGATTTGCCAGTCCAGGATTCGTAGTACTTGAGCTCGAGCCTCATGCGGCAGATGGCTGCCGGGAGCGACGCCAAGAAGACGAGGGTCTGTCTCAGTCGATCGGGATCGGCGTGCAGGCTCAATGCGCTCGTCGTGAGTGTTACAGATGTCATAGATGTGCATGCAGACAATATGGGCAGACGAGCTAGAAATCGCTGTCAGGGACAGAAGTGCAGAAGTCAGGCACCACTTACATATGCCAGAATCCAGCACGCTGCCGCCATCCAAGTAATAAAATGCCCGGAGATTCTGTCCAACCGATTGCATGAAATCGGTTAGGACAGACTGAAGATCATCCTCATCAGAACTTGGAACTGCAGTGGCCGCGTCGTAGGGCCCTCAAGTGCCGTATGGTCCAGTATCATGGAGACGTGACGTAGGGTTTTCAGGTCAACGTCTCTCATCTCAAGGTTCTTGACGACATGTTGTGCGTGGCAGGGTAGCATGGCGCAGCGGTGAAAGGGGGTTCCAAGACGGAGCGTGCCCACAGACTCGAACAGCCGCAGCAGCGAGTCCACTATGGACACTGGGACATAGCGGAGATATACGAGGCCAATAGTCCGTCCCGCGGCCTTCAATCGCGGCATCGAGAAAGATGACTCCCCGGGCAAGTCGACGGGGCCCCAATATTGCGAGTAATGAGCTCGCGCAGCAGCGGCAGGTTCTCAACCAGCAGCTGTTAAAGTGATCGGGGGATGGGCGGTACAGCGTGAGAGTAACGATGTTCGACAGGATGCGCTGCGTTGACTGCATCGCGAGCACAGCACTATTCGGCCCTGCGATCGTATAGGATGCGAAGAGCTGCCCCGAGCTCCGCGAAAGCCAGCGTCGGCATGTCAGCGAGCAGCTCTTCAGAGCTTGCCTGTCGGTGCTGAGCTCGTCGAGTATCTTGTCTATTAGTTCCTGCGAGAGTCGCTCAACAGGTCCAGGCATTGCTGTGCCACCGACGTGCTGATCATGCCTGGGCGTAGGTCGTCCAAATGCTGGGGTGCAGTTCAGCGGGCTATTACATCAGCAGGAAGGATACATATCACCGCGTACAAGGATTATGGCGCATTTCCGGGGATTGACGTGGCATGCACAGCGTCTCTGGACAGGAAGCAGCCAGAGTCGCGGCCAACAACCACGACGAATTTCCCAGGAAACGCGGGCCACCCTGAGAAAGTCGCGTCGATCACATGACTGCGCCGCATGCCGAGGTGCGATCGCTCTGTTTGACAAATCATAGTGTCACAACGATAAGTGGTGCGACGCGGGTCGATTATACCAGATGATGGGCCTCATGGTGTATTTTATAACTACCATGAAAATTTTCTGACCGGAGGAAGAAAAAGGCGGCGAGGGTTAGCATATATGTTAGTACTGTATCCGTGTCAAACGGTCAGCAGTGCCTGGGGTCACAGTTCTCAGGGGTCCAACAAGAAGTACACGGATCCCAACCACCAGCTTCCCCGTCGAGCTGCACGCTGCAGACACCGTTAGAACACGACTGCACTCCTGGGGCGTGAAAAATTTTCTGATATGGGCAGAGCTAAGTCTTCTTCAGGCCCACCATCGACCAGCTCGACGCCGCGCACCTGTATCAGGCAAGCCTCGTCTGCCGCGCCTGGATGCCCTACGCGTCCGAGCACCTTCTGCGGCGAGTCGTCGTGAATCACACAGCCCAATGCGACTCCCTCGTTACGCCCTACAGGTGCAGCCCGACGTGGCACGACTACACGGTCTTCCGCGATCTCGTCGCGCGCTCAGACTGCCTCCGTCGCTATCTCGGCCGCGGCAGGCTCGTACTTGCCAGTCCGATCTTTTATATTAACAAGCTCTGTCATAGATGGTAGCGCCCCCACTGCACTACGCTCGCTTGCTCGCCTCGAGACACTCGAGCTGAATATCCCACGACACCCTTTTCTCTCTGCGCCGGTACAGTTTGACAAAGCATTCGCGCATGTACCCAAGACATCCAGCCACCTGCATCTGAACCTTTTCGCCCATGGCGTTCCCACGCACTATCTCGCACATCTCGCAGCTGATGGATACTCTGCCACGAAGCGTGCGCTTCGCACTCCTGTGCACTCATTCGAAAGTCATAACGACGTGAACGTTGTCTGGAGCGAGTGCTCCCCGCCCACTTGCAAGGCTGCTATGCTCTGACCGTGGATCGGGACACTTGAAAAATCGGCTGAATATTAACATACATAGATTTCGTAGCGAAGCGCACGCCATAATGGGCAAGCGAATATTACATTGGGATGGAGCGAGCGCGCGCCGACTGACGCTTCGGGCGCGCAAGGTGGGCGGGCATCGATCGCGATCGCGCAGGCTCGGACAACTCCGGTGGTCACCTGGGCGCATTACCGCTTCGGGCGCGACCCCTAGCAACGGGCCGTGTACGCAGGTGGTGACCTCAGTCGCTGGCGACAGGGGTCACCAGCGAGGTGACCAGGGCCAAGCGGCACCCGGGCGTATACTCTATATACCTTTGTACAATTACATTCCAATGCTTTAATACCTGATAATTGGCTATAATATTACAGCTGAGACTTTAAGGTAGAAAAGTGGTACTATAGGGCAATTCCAACCTGATATTTGCAAGGTCTTATGCCTTAGTGGTGTAGTGCGCTGTGGTTACTTTCGGGCTGCGGGTTTGATTCCCGCTTGTGCCATTTTTTGGGCTTTTCGGAAATTTATTCAGCGTGTCTTAGCCGCTAAGGCTCCAACTGTTTAGTTTATGTGTAAACTTTTTTTGTAAACACACAGTAAACGGTTGTAAACGTTTATAAACAGTTTATAAACAGTAAACAAACAGTTATTACAGGGATCTAACCCACTCTAGTGGATTGCGCCAGATTAGCCTCTGAGAAACCTGTGTGAGCCTACTGCTCTACTTGAGCCTGAAAAGAGAGGTACAAATGTCAGTGCTTGAGCAACGCAAGGCGCTTGCTTGATGCGCGAGAGAAAAGCGAGGCCGCAGCTTCCTACTTACAATATTGATGTCCCAAACACTAGGCCCGACTCGGACGTGTATAGATAGTGCACCTACTCATGCGTACAGGGAAGGAGCAATGCGTGCATCACATCCCGAGCACAGACCGGCCATCAGGCAGCATCTGAACACTCCGTACCTCAAGCATCGTGCTATGGTCATCCCTATGGCCTGCTGGTGTCCCCTACGCATAGTACGCAGATTGCGGGCACACAAATAGTCTCGATCAGCCAGTGGAGGTTGCGGGAGGACAAACACTGGCAATCACAAGCTGCGGGAGCGGTATTGCCAGGCAGCACTGTACTGCGAGGGTAAAACCTACGAAGGTATCTGTGGGGCTTGTAAGCTTGCGGTTCCGCCTTTAGAAGGTTGGCATGTCCTATCATTGACCTCGTCGTTGAGAAGTGGGCCGATAACCTATGCAAGTGTTAGCCTGGCACTTCGGGGGTGACATGACATACTCTCGTGCTAGGACTTCGAGAGCTGGCCTAGAGAAGACTGCCGCATGGGTGAGGACCTTTGATAGCCCTTTTTTAGAGTCAATCTGCCTTAGTATTGCATGTGGTACTGTCATCGCTCAATGAGGTTGAACTAATATTAATATTGTTCCTCTTGAATGAAGTATGGGCTCACGACATTCCTGCATACCGCACTCTCGCAGGCAGGCTGCCAGTGCCCACAGTAGACTATATGTAGAGGAGCAGTCAATAAATACACATTATATTATATTTATAATGCTCGCCTTCAGACTGTGCTCAATACAAGTTAGGATCATGACTACCATTACTCCCAGTAAGCCTCAGGGCATAGGCGCTTGATACAGTGCGCCGGACTTGGGGGTTCAAAGAGGCCGCCCGAGGACGATGCACAGGCGGTGCGATGCACTCTTCAGCCCAATAAAGGTCAAGTCTGTTAGCAAGACTATGAATGTACAACACTAAGACCTTTTACAAACAACAAGAGGAAACTGTATGTTTACTGTGTATAAACGTTTACACCAAGTTTACATGACTTCATTTACACACACGGAAACGGTAAACAGTAATAAACGTTTATACACAGTAAACAAACAAAACGGTTGGAGCCTTATTAGCCGCTTTTGGGCGCTTCTGGGTGGCTAGTCCGATGTAACTTAATAAGTTCCCGTGTCTGGGCTGCCGAACTGAATCAGCTCGCTTGGTTCTACAAAAGGCGTTTGAGGACGGCGAGGGGCAGAGGAGGCTTGAAGTTTTACGGGTTTATTATAACCGTATTTATATGTTGTCATTGTACAGATCGGGACTGCCGCCGTCGCCCTTGCCGCTCCCATACTAGTCAAGCTTGTGTAAATACTCGAAATAATTCATTTTGGTTTTTATGCAGCCGCTATCTTCTCTAAAATGCCCGATTTCACCCAATTTTGTCCTATTTTGCCTATTTTCGCGCACTTACTTGCCTTGCGGTGCCTCAATCACCTGCGGCGCGCAAGCGCAACACTGAGCGAGCGCACTACGGCGCTGTGCACGCATCAAGGGCTGACCGCAGGTCGGGCTCGGCGAGGGCACACCACAAAGCAGGCCCAAACGAGATTAATTACTTAATTAGGAAGCTACAAGTACACGGTATACTGACGGTGTATGGCACAGGGGCTGAAGTCACCGGCGGGATGTGCGGGCAGGTGACCAGCGCCTGTCGGGCAGATCACCCTGGTGGCCACTGCGCCTGCCATACATTCTAATGGCATGGCTAAGACATTGATGTGGCTAAGACACCAGTGTGGCTAAGACATTGAGTCATTAAATATTTGCTATTGATTCTGCTTATTGTACAAATGTATATCCTGATGGCATGGCTAAGACACTGACGTGGCTAAGACACTAGTGTGGCTAAGACATTGGAACATTAAATATTTGCTATTGATTCCACTTGAGTATGGTTCATCTGCTCTGGTGTTTTAGCCACATCAGTGTCTTAGCCATGCCATCAGGA